GTTGCTAGGTGAACGCCCCTTTCAAGAAGCTTCAAAATCGCCCCAAAATGGAGAAAATTGGCTCAAAATGAATGAGCCCAGCTTTTAAGCATTCTGCCCATCAGATCCTCGCACCTGCGAGGAAACAGGCGCACATGCGGTTCCACTTCTGCAGACAAAATCGCGCAGGTGCGGACCAAGGCCAGGCTGCCCATTTTCGCACCTGTGCTCAACTGGTCGCACCTGCGAGCCCACTCATGCGACTAGAAGCTCGCATCTGCGGCTGTCCAAGCGCAGGTGCGAATGCACCAAAAGCTGGAAGCTTCAGCTGTTGCTTCCAAGTCGAAACTTGGTCTCAGCCTCGTCCGGTTAACACCCGAGGCCCCCGAGGCCTTGGCCGAACATACCGACAAGTTTGAAATCATAAAACGGACTCGCTCGAACCCTCGAAATGCGTAAAACAAGATCAAAACTAAGAATCATACCTCAAACCAAATTGATTCAACTTAAAAATTTTAAATTCTTCAAACTTACTCCGAACGCACCGAAACGTACTTAAACTACTCGGAATGATACCAAATTTTGCGTGCGAATCTTAAATCACCATACATAACTATTCTCATGCCTGGAATTCCGAACGGACCTCGATTACTCCAAAATCTATTCCAAACCAAATTTAAATAACCTTAAAACCTTCAAATAGTCAACTTTCACTGTTTAGCACCGAAACGCTCCCAGATTGTCCAAAACCCGATCCGAACATACGCCCAAGTCCAAAATCATCATACGAACCTATTGGAATCGTCAAATCCCGATTTCGAGGTCGTTTACTCAAAACGTTGACCAAAGTCAAACTTAGCCTTTTAAAACCAAACTAAGGAACTAATTGTTCCGATTTCAACCCGAACTCTTCCAAATCTCGAACAAACCATCCCCGCAAGTCATAAAGCAATAAAAGCACATACAAGAAGTCTTATTTAGGGGAACAGGTTTCTAGAAGGTAAAACGACCGGTTGGGTCGTTACAAGTTGTTTGATATAATTAATAATATAGATTTTTTTTTTCTTTTCTTAGTTTAAATAACTTTGGAGTATTGTTATCATTATTAAATTTTTATAAATGTTGTTAAAAATGATATTCAAGTTTCTAACAATCCGGAATATTATGTATTTTTATAAATGAGCAGATAATTTTTGAGAATTATGTAATTTTACTTATATAATTTAACGATTTTGAGGTATTGTTTTTAGAGTTAAATATTTAGATAGTTAGGAAAAGTGACCAGAAAGTTAGAGCAGAAGAAACGAAAGTGCGGAAAGAAAAAAACAAAAAAGGTAAAATAAAGGGAAAAGGAAAGAAAAACTAAAGACAAAAAATTTCCAAAATATGTAGTTTAAAGCAAACATTTTCTTCAAATTACGTTCTTACTTTACCTTATTTTAAGAAAAATAAAACATATTAGTGTACCTATATATTGATTACACAAAAGTAGAAAGTTAGAGTTATATTTACAACTAAGTTTTACAATATGGATTAGGAATTCCAATCCAAAAATATATAAACTTTAATTTTAACATATTTAATAATTGGGTATTATGAAAAATTATTTGTAAATGCAATAATATTTTTTTCTACCACGCGAAGTACGGACAAATTCACTAATATATATATATAAAGCTGGGAATGAAAGCGGTCACTCATTTTCTACGTATTTACCCTTATTCTTTTGTTAAGTATTACTCTTACCGTTTTGCACCGTTTCTAAACAATAATCAAACACATTCTTTCGGTTACAACTTCTCCAAATCGTTTTGTTTTGAAAGAACAGATTTGTTCAAGAGCATTTAATATTTTAGTTCTTTTCTCTTTCCACGCCTTGTAATATTCCATGTTAATTAAAGAGGTGGCAACTATCTTTACCTCCCTCATATTTGATCGCTCGTCCAAGTTAATTGCTCAAATGACTAGGTAACGTCAATCATTTAATATTCTTTGATTTTATGACTAACTTTAGTTGTTTATAATATATAATTCCATTGCAGTCTCTCATATTTTCCTTTATTTGCATGCGATGATAAAAAAATAGAGTAATGTGCATTACGTCGATATCTAGGGGNATTTGAATGGAGGGCAAGTTTATAGAAAGTGTTGTCATTTTTCCTCCTTTGTTCTCTGAAGCCATCGGTACTTGTATTTATGGTCTTTCTCTTAGAAAATTAAGGTCTTAAAATTGTTTTTTACTATTGATGATGAAAGGTATCTACCTGATTTGCATATGTTCCTTGCCTTATAATATGGAGTAATGATTATCGAATTGCTTTTGTTGATATACTCATCCTATAAAGTTGCCTTTCTTTAATATGAAGGCAAGAAAACGCAACGAAAAAAGTAATTCATATCATTCACCCGGAAGGCTTGGCTCTCTAAGATTTTTTTTCCTTTTTTTCCCTCTTATTCGCAAGCTTGAACTATGTTAGACGCTATTAATTCATTAAAATAAAAATAAAAAGAATTTTTACTCTATTTTGGGATAACAAGATATAATTTTCTTGGCTTGACATTTAGTGTAGAGATTAGTACATCGATATACTCATTTTACATTACAATAATTTTTTATTTGGACGGTGAAAAGAACCTACAAAGAAAATGTTACTAATTTTTTTTTTTCAGAGTTATTTACATGTTTGACTATTTTAGATTCTTTTAGCATATTCAACTCAGTGTAGGGAAGAAAAAAGATCTCAAGAAAAACCATACCTTTTCTCTGTAAGTATATACTAAAAGAAGTGTTCGCTTACAACAGAACAATAATATAAGTCGATATCTTGAGATTAAGGCTTAATTATTATAGTTACATTCATTTGTTTATTAGGAGTAATTTTTGTTTGGTTATAGATTTATGACTAAGTTTGTTATTTCCAATTCTTAAAAAATTCAAGAATATTGCCAAGCACATTTTTACAACATGAAGTTGAAGAACGTGCTTTCTAATAATGATACAAGTGCTCTAGAATCTGAAGATGAAAATGACACAAATTGAGATGGACGTTCCTCAAGGAAACTAAAACTTGCCCCCAGGAAAAAATTCCTTGTGCTTAATCGTGGTGGTGTGTTGATTCTTAAGGACCATAGTAAAGACCTGGCCACTATTCTAAGCGACATCACTGACCTGGATAACAATAATTTTGCTGGTCTGTGCGTGTTCTTCTTCCTTTAAAAAATGAAATGTGTGTTTTCTGTTTTCTTTTTCTAAGTATTTAGTACTTAATGTCAACTAGATAGAGTTAGTTCGATTTTTGATTTTGATAAAAATCGAGTCAAACCGATCCATGAATACCTACTTACGACTCTAGTAAAATTATGGATGAATCATAGCTTGAGGGTATTAATGGAGGTTGTTGGGTATTATTAGCGAAAAAGAATAGTGGTTAGATGTCTTTAGATATCTTGTAAGATCATACATGGTATAGATAGCCCATGAATAAAGTGACAATGCTTTGGGTGAGTATTGGCATTTGGGTGGCTTAAGGCCAATACCCAAGTGTTGAATTGGATAAATTGAACCATAAATTGCATGGTTAAATTATGATTGGGGTAGATTGACGTTGTTGGGAGGTGTTGAGTTATTTGACGCTCAACAAAATTAGGATTATTTTTTCAAAATACACGCTTTAAATGCTTTCTAATGTTAATTGAAATGTGAACCTATATTTGTGGGGGCGAACAGTTGCGCATCACACCATGATTTGCAAACTATTTATATTTATAAATTATCTTGTTAAATATATGATATGTATTCAATTTTACATAATTTCAAATTATGGTTTTATGAAAGATAGCTTGTATACAATTTGAAATGCCTTTTGATAAATTCAATATAAATGTTGAAAACCTTAAATGACTTGATTATAAGATTATGAAATTAGGCCATATATTCCATAATTTTATATAAGATTGTAAAAGGTCGATAGTCCAAAAGTTCGAATATATAAGTTGAGGCCAATAATGCCTAGATTGTTATATAAAAATTTGGGAGTTATCATAAAATAACTAAGAAGGTTTGTGTGGTTCCAAACAATCAACGTTTATCAGAAAACAGACGTACCAATAAATGATTAGGCTCAACATAACTAATTTGTTGATTAGAGTTAGGCTAGATATTTTTCTAACTCTTTTAGAACTTAGGATTTTTGTGCTGACATTTTGAAAGTCCATTCAATTGAATGATTAGGTCAGGAGCTTTTGAACTTTATAGCCCATGAGGTTAGGCCAAGTTATCTATTTTGATAATTGTATCTCACAACCACCAAATACAATAATATATTAATTTTAAGTCAACTAAAATTAATCATACAAATAAGTTTTTCTTGTTCAAACTTCACAAATAAGATAGTACAAATAATTAATTATCAATAAATTACAAAAAAGAGAAAAAGTTACATAAAATGGAGGGGCAAAAAAAAATAGTTAGTATCGGGCTTGTCTAGTGCGGTTTACATCTCATGTGTAATTTGTGAGGTATTGCACAGTGAGTAGGTTATCCAGTGCACACCCGAAGCATAGCAGCTGCGATTTTCCTAGGAATTTTCTAAAAAAAATAAGTGTTATGTTATCATTAATATGATATATTACTCAAGTTCAATATCTTCTATTGCCAAACTAGTTATTGCAAACAACTAGTAAACAATATTATATCAAATCTAATGGAGAATCTTAACTTTAAACTTACAGGTTACAACTAAATAAGTTAGGACAAGTGACATACTAAGGGCCGCCTGGACATAAAGTTTGATGGAAGATCTTTCCAAAAAATTTTTGCTGGAAAATTTAAAAAACTGTAAAAAGCTGTTTCTCAAAATTTTCACTCAAATCATTCACAAAACTTCAAAAACAACCCAAACTGAAATTTATGTCCAAACACAACTCTAAATTTCAAATACCATTTTTACTTTAAAAAAAAAAAATTCAAACATTTTTTCGAATTTTACGATTCTTATGTCCAAACGCCTGCTAAAAACGCTAGAAGGTTATTTTGGTAAAAACGAAACACGCCCCTGCTCCTGCTGCTTATGACACTGACGATAGCGTCAAGAAAAGATATTTTGGCTTAGCCTCTGTATCTCCGCTTGCGCTTCAGCTTCAGCTTCGCTGTAGTTACAATTTTCTCTTGCTTTAACGAGGTAACAAAACTTCTTAACCCCCTCATGTATCTGATCTACTATGTTTTCCTATTTTTTCCACTTCTATTTAACCGTTTTACAAAATCAATTAAAGATAAAGGGACACGGTATATCTAAGATCGATCTGTCTTCTTGACCTTGATTCTAAGATATGATTTTAATTTTATGTGGATCTCTGAATAAATTTTTTGTCTCAGGAGAATAGAGAAATCTGAAGTCTGAACCGTATAACCCGTTATTCATTACTTTTAATTTAATATAGTTGTTTAGTTTCGTTAAATATTTTAGCAAGAATAAGGTCTACACCCCTAGCGTCTCCTTGACCTACCATCATCAAAACAGAGTATAAACCCAGACTAAGGTGAATTGTGCGAGAAGAAAGACTTTAATCCCCATCTCTACTCAGCTTTCAAGGTACCTCAGTTAAGCTTTCATATCTTTGTACGATTGCTTATCTCCTTCTCTTTTCCCTTTTTGCTTGATAATGACTTCTCAACTTCTGAGATCTTGAAGTTCAACTGTGTAAATACTCAAGAATTTGAAAATTTTCACTTCTTATAATTCATTCTACCGAAATTAGTCAATTGGGCTGGGAAATTTTGAATTTAACTTTTCTACAGAAATTAGCCAATTGTGTATACAAATCTGAGTTGGGAAGTTTTGAATTTAACTTTGTGCGAGATCCATTAATAAAAGTTTGAATCTTTTTGGCAAATTCTTAAAGTATTGTTGAATGAATGAATGAATCAATCATTCAAATCTGAGATAATTTGATTTGAACTGGGCGTGAGATGCACCGAAGAAGTCTGAATCTTTTGTAGGATAAAGTTTTGGTAAATTCTTAGGTTGTGCTGATTGAATAAATCTGTCATTCTGACTCAGATAGTTTGAATTGAACTGGGTGTGAGATGCACTGAAGAGAGTCTAAACCGTTATGCATCCCATAGGATTTTTTTCCCTGGTGAATTCTGCTGGTTGAATCAATCCTCGGGAGAAACTCTGAATCTTTATGCATTTATGGAAATCTTTTTGGTGAATACTTAAGTTGTGTTCATAGAACCATATTAACTGAGATAGTTTGAGTTGAACTGGATGTGAAATCCATGGAAGAAAGTCGTCTTCTTTAAGCGTTTCTAGGAATTTTTTGGTAAATTCTTAATTTCTGTTGATTGATTTGGTCCTCCTCGTAACTGAGATAGTGGGTAACCAACAATGTTAACAAAAGCCATTGCTCCGTCACTTAAGGTGATGAGGCGAGCGTTTAGTGGTTCCTCGGTGAAGCCATGCATTTTAGAGAAGTTTGTGCTTCAAACAATAGTGCACTAAGTGATTCTAACGAGAATCAGTCATTTATTTGAATCTTATCTTTGAGGAGTTGGATTAATATCGGCATTATTATATATTGCAAGCTGGAATTTATAATTTAATTGCAATTTAATTTTGGTGTACTAGTTTACAGATTTTTATATATTTTTTTTAATTTCCCGTAAATTGTGTGCTTCACTTAAAAGAAGTGTGGCTTTTCTTCTCGCTTTTCATTTCAAATCCCATGGTCCTTATTGCTTTTTTGCACTTTTCGCTATCACTGGTTTGAGAAACCAGAAAGTTCTATTCTTGTTCTGCATTCAAGTTTCACAGTCTTATCGTTTTTGGCATTTTTTGTAGAATTGCAGAAGGCCGTGATGCCGGGGCATGATAACTCAAATGGGTCTTCAGAAAAATCCAGCAGTGGTATGGATGATTTGCCAACTTTCAATGTTGAGAATATGCAAAACAACATGAAAGTTATTTTATACAGGTTGGTTGACACTATCTTTAGGTTCAGTGCAGTGTTTTATAGTCTTTTATGGTTTTACTGTTTCTTGAAGATTTCAAATAGTTGTAATTAGCTAAGCTGGACGTACGTTAATACATACTATGTTGGGGTGAGTTACGTCCTCAATCATGTGAGATTGATGTTAGCACAACTGGACTATTGGTTGAAGTTATATGCATTTGTGTTGGAATTAAATCCTTCACTGAGGCATTATTTCTATTATTTTTCTTATAATCGAGAAATCCCTGAGGTCCAGTGGCGTGCGATTCGAAACTCGGTGGATAATAGACCTCTCCCTTTACCTCTGCAGCAGGGTTTGAACCCGTGACGTCTGCCTAATCCACACATCACGCTTTGCGCTCTTACCACTAAACCAAAGCTTTGGGGCTTATTGATGAACAAGAAGAATCTATGTTAAATTTTATTAATTTTGACCAAGATCATGTTTTAGAGCTCAAGTTCAAATATATGGACTTATTTTTAAGAAGAGCAAGAGGTCCAAGAAGCTCAAGATTGATTTCAAAAAGCCAAAATTCTTTCCTTTTTAAAATAGGATTTATTGTTTCTTTACAAGAAAGGATTTCTTGTTTCCTTTTATTGGTAGATTTAGACTTTCTTTATTGTTTTTCCTTTAGAATAAGCATTTTTCCTTTTGTAGGATTTTAGTTTCTTTTCCTTGTGGAGTAGGGATTTTACTTTCCTTGTCTTTAGCTATTTGATTTCCTTATTAGAATATGAATTGTAGTCATCAAAGAAGAGATCCTAGGCCTATATAAAGGGTTCTCATGCCTTGTAGAAGGAATTCACATTTTTGAGATTTGTCCTAATTTGCAATAGAATGTTCTTCTCTATTTTATCTTTTTTATCCTTGTTTTTGTTCCAAGCATGGATGTGATAGTCTTTATCAGTGTTAAGCGAGGCTCAAAACATGTTGAGCGCTTCGCCTCGCTTAGCGTGCGCTTTATTGTTGTCATCAAGGCTCTAAGGCATATGTTTCTTGCCAATGAGCGTAATTCTGAAAATGCGACATTAAGCAATTGATATTTTTACTTTATCGTAAATTTTCTTCAATTTCTTTGTCCTTATATTTGGTATTCATGCTTATTGATATTAGTCTTGGACTACACTTACATATTTGTAGTTTTTCTCCATTTGCGCTTTCTTCATTAAAGCCCACGCTTTATTTGCGCTTTGTGTTTAAAGCCCTAATAGACCTTAGAGCTTTTTTGCACTTTTCGCCTTTAATAACACTGGTCTTTATCTTGTTTTCAATTACGTGTGGTGTTTCTTTATCACATTAATTGATTCCAAGTGGTGACTTTAGGAACTTTTTAGTTCTTGATCATTTAAGAACATGTTTCTTGATCTAAATTCGTTCGTTTAATATCTTAGAATCAGAACTTTCACTGAACCGGTACAACCTCAATATTTACTTGTTTTGAACGAATAAACAGTCTTTCTTGTAGTTCAGATCGTCATCGTTCACCTCGATTTTGAATCATCAGATTCCAAGTCCTAAAACTTGAGATACACTGTTTCTTGAAATCAGCCCATAAATCACGTTTTCGTTTCAAGATTTTGATCCTGGTCGATTGGTTCTTTGTTAACTCGAAGAATCGCATCAATTTGGTATCATAGCTATATTCTAGAGGTCCAGGTTGACGACTTTATCTTGGGCAAGATCATGTTTTAGAGCTCAAGTTCAAACATATGAACTTATTTTTAAGTAGCGCAAAAAGTTCAAGAAGCTCAAGATTGATTTCAAGAAGCCAAAATTCTTTCCTTCTTAAAATAGGAATTATTATTTCTCTACAAGAAAGGATTTCTTGTTTCCTTTTCTTGGTAAGTTTAGTTTCTTTTCCTTGTAGAATAGGGATTCCTTGTCTTTAGCTATTTCATTTCCTTATTAGAATAGGAATTGTAGTCATCAAAGAAGAGACCCTAGGCTGATATAAAGGGTTCTCATGCCTTGTAGAAGGAATTCACGTTTTTGAGATTTGCCCTAATTTGTAATAGAGTATTTTTTTCTATTTTGTCTTCTTTATCCTTGTGGTTCCAAGCAAGGTGGTGCTAGCCTTTATCTTGTTTTCAATTGCATGTGCTGTTTTATTATCATGTTAATTGATTCCAAGTGGTGACTTTAGGAACTTTTTAGTTCTTGATCTAAATTCGCTTGTTTAATATCCTAGAATCAGAACTTTCATTGAACCGATACAGCCTCAATGTTTACTTGTTTTGAACGAATAAATAGTCTTTCTTATAGTTCAGATCTTCATCGTTCATCTCGTTTTTGAATCATCAGATTCCAAGTCCTAAAACTTGAGATACGCTGTTTCTTGAAAGCAGCCCATAAACCACGTTTTCGTTTCAAGATCTTGAAATAATCTCAAGATCTCAGTGTTAACTTCTTTTCATCTTTTGAACAATACTTGGAATGATTTTTCTGTATTATGGCTTTTTGGGTTGGGTTCCTTGAGTTCTTATTTTCCAGTGCACAAGACTATAGCTCCTTGCACCTGAGCAGAAAGGAAATATCTGTTACTCTTGTTGTAGTTCCATGTGTTACTATAATGGCTTGAGGAGATGCGTATAGTCCTTCAAATATCCGTTCTTTTACCTCACTAAATTTCTAAGTACCTCAATCATCAAAGAAACAGCCTAATACCCAACACCAAGAACTGCAGATTATAATGGTATTGATGAATGAATTTTACCTTTATAAGTTACAATAATCGATGAGAAGTAGTTTTTTGAATCATTTAAGAGTTTATACTGGTTTTCAATGCTAATGGAAGTCCTGGTACTATGCTTCTTATTTTGCTTCTACAACAAAACAATCCCAAGCTCCATAAACTTATCATATAAAAGAAAAACAAAACCAACCTTTTTATGCTGCAATTGTCTATCAAGAAATGTCAATACTTTGATTATTCAATTGGAACAGAAGGAAGAATGAAAATGTGAATGGAGATGGGCAGTTGATCATTTATGAACAAGTAAAGTTGGGTTCTTTTTGTCTTTCTGAGCTATTATGCTTTTTCCCTGTCATTGGACATTTCCAATTTATATTGAGCATTATGTTGTTCAGCCGCACATTCATGGCAATCATTGGTGGTGTCATTGCCGGCATTCTGGGACTTACTAGCTTGACAGGCTTTATCTTTTATTTCCTTGTCATGGCAATAACTTCGGTAGCACTCACAGCAAAGGCCAAGTTTTCAATCCACTCCTACTTTGACAGCTGGAACAGAGTCATGCTTGATGGATTTTTTGGCGGGCTTATGGTACCTCTTTGATTCGATACTTCTAATAAGATGTCTTCTATGTGTATTTTCGTTTGTTCTAATACTTGATTAAGAATCAATTCGTCTGCTGCCTGCCCAACCAACCCTACGGGAGAAAATATTGTAAAATTCACTTTCTTTTCAAAATCATAATCTTTTTGAAAAGCCTTGATTAATTTACTTTACCCTGCCTCATTTTTTCTCCCTTGTTACCCTTTTGGAAATTTTTCTCATTCATTTTCCCTGTTATGAATTCTTCCCAAATCTTTTCAACTTTTATTTCTTCAAATTTCTCTTGCAGTTAACCAATTATTGGATCGTATTATCTGTATCTCAGTGATATTTTATTGGTTAGAATCATGTTTATCAGTATTCCTACAGATCTTCGTCAATTATTTGGGAGATGGGATTGAAATCTATCTTGGTAGCCTATGTTGTACCTTTTTGTTTTAAGGTGGTATCCAGCATAAAAAATTCACTGCCTGATTGCTGAGAGGAATTTGCTATCTTTGCATGACAATTTGAAATTTAAATTTAGCTTCATATGCTTAATTTGACACTGACTTGACATTTCTGTTCTTTGCAGTCATTCGTGCTCTTCTGGACGTATCCTAATCTGTTGTAGTTTTTCGACAAATAGATTTATGAAATATTTTATTCCCTCTTGATAAAACTATCTGAAGGTATTCGACTTATCATCTCCGCCCCAACATGTATGCCTTTTGCCAATATTCTCAAGTTTTACTCTAAGTAACAAGATAGGGTGTAGAGATGACCATGCAGATGTTATCAGGTTATAGTTGGGAACATGTTATCCTCTACCTCCCCTCCTCTGCCCTAGGAAATAACCATATTCTGTCTTTTACCTTTGCCTCTTGGACAAATTGTTTTGGACAAGTTTAGTTGAGAAAAGATTTGTGGGAAACAAAAACATAACTGGATATTTTGTTAACATTTATAGTGCTCTCAAATTCTTTTTCATAGAAAATTATTTCTTAACCAACCAAATTGAAAAAAAAAAGGAGAGAGGCCGTAGCGGTGCCAATATTTTCATTGCATTTCTTGTGTGGTTTCTATGCATCTTTACCATATCGGCCCTTGCATGGTGTTGTATCGTATATGCATTCCTGTAATTCCTTGACATGCAAAAGATTCGCATATGACATTGTGCATATATTTTGAGGATCCCTTCCCGTGCGAGATGAAGACCTTTGCTATCCCAAGAAGATGCTAAAGACATTTTCAAGTTCAAAGTGGTGGGTATTCAAAGTCTGCACTCATGATATTTTCGTTCTATTAAGCTTGCAAGAAAGTTTGTTGGGAGTTGTTGAACATTTGATCTTGAGAAAAGTTTTTGGTTAGGTAATTTATATTCAGAGTTTAAAAGCTTGAGTAATTGCATAAGCAGTTGAACATTCCATATCACTGTTGAATGATATACAGAGCCTGTAATCTTAGTGAAATCTAATTGTTCAGGTTCAACAATTGAGCCTTATACTGTTCTTAATAAGCACTACTATGGTTGTACTTTTGACTACAGATTGGCTTCTCGAATGGTAGAAAATACAGGTTTTGATTGGATTCAGCAGTTATCTGGTTTGTTCTTACTTTCCGATGCCAATAAGTTGCTGTATTGTACAAAAAGAATTGCAGTTTTTTGCATGATTGAATTGAGATGCAACTAAGGAGAGAGGCCTTGTGAATTTCTAAAATTAATTCAGGCTAAAATCGAGCTTTAGGGCGTGTTTGGTATGGAGAAAATGTTTTTCAATATTCCTTACTCTCCACCTTCCCTCAACCTCACCCCACCCCTATCCCCACACTTAACCCCCACCGCTCCACCCCCACCTCTTGCTCCTAACTTCGCCATTGTTACCCCGACTTACTATTCTTCCTTGTCCTTATCCATTTGTTTCTTGTATTTGTTTCTTGTAGTGTTTGTTTAAATTATATATTTTCTAAAAGATACTTTCTGTCACCTAACCAAATACAAGAAACTAAGTAAGAAAATACTTATTTTTCAAAAAATTCTTTCAGGAGAATATATTTTACTTCATACCAAATACATCCTTAGAATGCAATTTAATTCATATGAAGCCACGTGAGGCCCTCACAAGTGAAGCAAGGTTCAAGAATACAAGAAAAATATTATACGAACATATTAATGCATGTATAACATGGCCCGGGGGTACATAGACGTATGAATATTAAGGTGTGTTAAGAATGGAAGATGGAATTTTGTTCCTAGAGCTAACAAAATGATCATTAGTTGATTTTCATTTTTATATACAAAAATCACTCTATAGGTGATTCTAATACGTGAACCGTGGGTGGGAGGTAGGGGCACCTTAATACAATTATTAGTATTATTAGTATATAATGCACCTTCCTGTCTACTTTAATTGATTTTTTGATCATTTTTTGTAGTCCACAATATTTAATTTTTTCAAATATCAAGAAGGAATTAACTTCTTTCTCCAAAATTACCCTTGGAGTAAAGAGTCTAAGAATATTTGTTATACTAGTGAATTTTTCCGCACTACGCACGGTCATAAGAAACATTATTTTGAATTTACAAAATGATTATTTCTTAATACTTGATCTCTCAAACATAAATCACTTCATATGTACTGTGGGGGGTTTTCTCACGAGACATCTTGCCTTTGTAACGGCTAGTCTGTGAGTCTGTGTTAGCACTAAGATGGACTATACCATAATTTTTATTATAAAAGTAGTCAAATTATAAAGATTCAGGGCGAGTAAACCTAATTAATTTGAAATTATAGTATAGTTGTTTGATATAATTAATGATAAAGAATTTGTTTTTCTTTTCTTAGTTTAAATAACTTTGGAGTATTGTTATCATTATTAAATTTTTATAAATCAAATCCTAGACATTACAACCGAACCTTTTGTTATATTTGAAGTTGGACATTAATAACGCATATAACCTGAGCAAAAATAAACTTGACAAAATATACGTTTGAGCGTCTAGTATATACATTTTAGTTTTTAAAAAAAAAATTGTTATGGCTACTTGATCGTTACATTTCATATGGCTAAAACTTTACAATGAGCTAATCAAACAGCCCTTCTTAGTTTTGATCCAGAAGCTAGGTATTTATGGCTACTTGATCGTTATATTTCTGCATACTTATTATGGAGTATTATTGTTTTCATTATCGGTGTAAATGACATGATGGATTGCTATGTAAATGAAAATATATACCTAATTTTGTCCCTCTCCTATTAAATTTAATTTTTAGCATTCAAAAATGTGTTTTTAGTGTTTACCATGTTATTTTTCAATTTTGCATTTTAATTAACTTTATCTTTTGAGAAAGTTGAAAAGTACGTGAATAGTCACATCTATAGTATGTTATAACATTAGAATTTTTGAGTTTTGTGTTGTTAAGCTTAAAAGAAGACAAATGAAAATCATGCCATCTAGCTCAATTGGATAGAATATTTATAACAAATTAAATTTCATGTAACATAAAGCTTTCTTCCCATGAGCTATTTCTACATTTTACACCTCACAACTCTCACACTGTGCACGTAATTTTATACACTCTCAAACCAAAAACAAATAAATTATATACTCAAACGCATGGTGCCTGGACACGTTCAGTTCTTCCACATTATCTAGACTCCCATATTTCCCTGTTTCTAATCTTCACTTTCTACCCTAAAAAATCAAGCTACCACTACACAATATTGTTGGTCTAAATAATAAAATATTTAAAGGACAAATCCTTTCTCAGAAATATGAGTGAGATGTCTCAAACTGCATTGTTGAAAAATCCAGCAGTAAATCATGACTTATAATTTTAATATTTTATCAAGGATACTATTCAAACGGTGGAGTTGAGCTTATTCAAGAACGATGGGATTATCTTCTCTACAGAAATCTGCCATCAAGACTACATCCTGGGTTTTCCCGTTCCGCCATCTGGCTTATGTTTTTCATGTAGCATTCAGATCGAATGACTATGAAATTATGTCGATACTTCCACGTATTATGGATAACGTAGGAGATATTTCTATTTTAATTTGCTACCATCAAATGAAATGTGTCCTCCTCTCTTTGAAAGAAGGGATGCTTCCGGTTCTATTGGTGCTTGAACAACTTTATCTTCTCCATATTACTATGATATAGCTAAACCAAATGAGGATGAAAAATTGATGATTCTTGGCCTGTATTTATAGAATTGTTTATCCGAAAAATCAGATAACGTTAAATTTGTGTATGGTTCTAAGGATATGTGATACAATTTGATACAAACCGTATAGAGAGATAGAAATATGTATATTTTTGACTATGACAATGAGAATAGTGAGCAAAAAGAATGAATAAGATAAAGTAAAACAAGCACAAGGAGATATCTTTCAATATGAGAAATGATCTTTTGTTACAGTGTATTCGGTGTCTCTATGCTTACGAGGATTCCCCCTTTTATAATAGAGGGATCCTACTTTATTTATAATAAAATAAAGCATATAGTGGAGGACCCATGATAAATTATCTCTTCCTCGATTCCCGCAAAGATTCTCTCCCTTAGTGCGGTTGTAACGACTCTTGTCTGTGAGCTCGATACTAGCTCGAACTCGTTATTGGGTCGAGCCCTCAGTTTTGTCTTGAGTTTGACCTTCGGGGTGGGCGTAGCGCATTTTCGACCTCAAAACAATGCCTTGCGGATTGATTTGGTCACGGGCTCGATAAAAGTATCGAGCCGACTCCTCGATCAGCCTTCGGACTCGAGGCTCGTTTGTACTATCTTCGGAACTCATCCCAAAATCCCATTTCGGTTGCTTACCATTCGAACTCGATCGAACGTAGGATGGCCGAAATCTATTTTGACCGTATACATATAGTCCCCTCGTTTCTCAGGAAGGATATGGTGAGAATTGATATGATCTTCGACGGTTCGATCGGGTTATAAGCTGATGTTTTCACAGGGCTCGATCATGACGTATGTGATAGCTGTCCCATCGATTTAGTCTTTCAAGGTATTTAATGCATGTCAGATGGTGGTCGGCCACCTCTGATATTGAACCGCCACGATGCAAGCCTATAAATAACCCCTCCATCTAACATTTACCACTTTTACGCCTTCTCTCTTCCAAATTTTCTTACCATTTCTCTCTAATTCGCCGCTTGCAGAGCCATCTACACCAGTGTTTGGTGTCATCAACTTTTCATCTTCCTTTGCCTTTCTTCTTCTCATATCAATGGCCAAAACTTTGAAAACTGTACATCAGAAGGAGAAAGCTTCTTCTTCACGGTCGTCCGGCGACAAGGCGCCGGTAGAGCCGCCTACCTATGAGTATGTTCCCGGTCCATGTACTCTGAAGATCGATTTTAAGGTTGAGAATCCTTCATATGTTCCGAGTCGATGTGAGCATGTGTCGATGTACATGTGCTCGATAACGGAGGGTCATCTCGAGGCTATGAGGAAAGACTGCAACTGGGGTTCCGAGGTTGTGTTGCAAATTCCCTCCCCCGAAGAGAGCGTCATCACCCATGTGGAGGGGTTTTTAAGTGTTTACACTTACCCCTTCACGTTGGGTCCCGTCGACCCGGTGATCATTGATTTTTGCAAAAGATATTAGGTCACCCTTGGTAAAATTCATCCCTCTCTATGGCGTATAGTAACCTTACTTCGCTTCTTCTCCAACAAGGCCGGGGGGCTGGATTTTTCCCTGAATCACCTCATACAATTATATCGGCCTCAAATCTTTCGAGGACTAATCAGTTTTCATCGTCGGGCATCAAAGGCTTTGATGTCGAGCATCGACGAAGACAAGGATCGGGGTTGGATGGGCCGTTATATCTGGGTGAGGACCCGTGACCTCATTCCGGAAGAGAAGATGTCGTTTTCCAAGGAATGAAATTTCGACCGTAAGTGATTTTCATAAGACGTTGCTTTTCGTATCTTTTTCCGATTTTATCTGATGCCTTTCTCCGATATACGGCTGCCCCTTGGATGCCACAAGCGGTACCTGACCTCGAGGATTGGGTTCGGAAGTTGGCCATGACTTCCTCTTATGCCGAACGTGCTTGGCGTGATTTGGCAAAAGGTAGATGGAAGGCCAAGAATCATGGTAAGGGTTACTTCTCGTGTTCTTTGAAATGTTTCTTATGCTCCATTCGTTACCGATATTCCTTTCATGCAGGTGTAACCAAAGATGCCGTTTTGAGGCCTTCGAGTGGTGAAGAAGGAACCAAGTCCCTAGTCCCGAAATCGGAGAAAGATAAGAAGCGAAAAGATGTCTCTCGGTCAGAGGACTCCGAGCCCAAAACTCGAAGGGTGAGGAGGAAGGCAATCGCTCTTTCGATAGACTCGGTCCAACGACTAAGAGAAGAAGAAGAAGAAGAAAAAAAAAAGATGATGCCTCGGCTTTGGTGATCCGATCTGCGAAAGCTATCAAGGTCGCCAAAGCTTCTGAACCGATGGAGGCTGTACCAGTCGGGGTCGGTTCCGGTACCCCGAGTCTCGATCAGAGCGTCCCGAGCGATTCGCTTGGGACTATGACAGTGGGTCATTTGCCTTCTCTTNCGATGATGATGATGATGATGG